TAAATATATTAAAAGTTTTATTGTTCAATAAGTTATTCAAAGGAGGTGATCCGACCAATCTTTCAACATATCACCTAATCTCTATTTTGCCAGCTTTTTTCTCAAGTTTAAGAACTTTAAATAACATAATTTTTCAAATACTTATCTTCAAATAAAATATATCGTAATCATTACTAGTTCAAAAAAGTAATTAAACAGAACTCATTATACTCTAAATTAACCGCAGTTTTGCTTACCTTATTCAATTTTAATGAACGTCGTATTTGCCTAAGATCTCTTTTTACCTCTTAACAGTGTAACAACATTATTTCAAAACGTGAACATCGAATAAACGTAAATTTGTGGTTGATTTAAAATGAATGTTAATACGAAAATCTTGAAAAAACAAAATGGACAATGTTTCATCAAATGAAAAAACAAAATGGACAATGTTTCATCAAATGAAAAAACAAAATGGACAATGTTTCATCAAATGAAAAAACAAAATGGACAATGTTTCATCAAATGAAAAAACAAAATGGACAATGTTTCATCAAATGAAAAAACAAAATGGACAATGTTTCATCAAATGAAAAAACAAAATGGACAATGTTTCATCAAATGAAAAAACAAAATGGACAATGTTTCATCAAATGAAAAAACAAAATGGACAATGTTTCATCAAGCCTCAAAAATAATTACTCTGATAATTGTAAACTTTTATTTTTTGTAAACAAGATTCAAATAAATAGAATATATAAATAAATACTAATATTTGCATTATAGTCTTCATTGCATTTAACGTTTGTCGAGCGCAACGAAGTTGCTAGAAGCATAGAATTATTTGATTAAGCTAAAGTGAATTATATATTATATTTTAGTTTATTCGATCTGGTAAAAAACAGCAGTTGCGTATTTAAGAAAGTAAAAAATCGCTCAAAAAGCTTCAAAAATTATTAGATATTCTAAATTTTCAAGTAACACTGAAAATTCGCCCTGTAAATAATTTTTACGAGAAACCCCTCAAATGTCCTTCATCTTGCTTTTGTTATACTGTTTTTGATAACAACGTTCAAAGTCTAATTTATCTTGATGAAAGTGAAAGTGCATACGTTGCTCCTCTGAGTAAGCCTCCATGTTTTCTTTTAGTTTATCAAGATGAGGGTTGATATGGGTTTTGAATGAAATTTTTTATGCCACTTTAACATATGGAATTTGAACAATTCCGCATTTTTTATCAGCCTTCTAATTACCCAGGTAGCTATGAGCTACAACAAAACTGTCACTCTCGTCGTCCTGTTCAAGAGCTTGTCAAACTTGTCATATTCTATGATCTTTTTGATCTGTTTTCCAATTGAAATGCCAACTTTAACTTTAGCCTTAGACAACATCAACCTTGTCCATGTGGAATGACCAGGGCCAGATTAAAGGCCAAGTGAGCCTGAGGCTGCAGATTCAAGTAGGCCTCCGGCCGATTATTTAAAAAATTACAAAATTTGTAGATGTATTGCGAAAACAAAGATAGGTAATGTTTTTTTATAATTATTATAATTCAATGCAGATAACAGAAGATAACTGCAGATAACAGAAGATAACTGCAGGTAACTGCAGATAACAGAAGATAACTGTAGATAACAGGAGATAACTGCAGGTAACAGAAGATAATTGCAGATAACAGAGATAACTGCAGAAAACAAAAGATAACAGAGATAGCAAAAGATAACAGAAAATAACAGAAATAACATCGCTTTCAATAAATTTATTGCAATAAGTAGTTTTAATGAAATAAAAAAATTTTAAAATTTCACAAACTAATAAATCAAGACAATAAATATCTTCAACAATATTACGATTTATGTGAGTTTGAAAGTTTGTTAACTGAAATCTTAGACTATTAGACATTAACTTTTCGAGATTTTTAATCAGTAAATTTTTCAACTAAAGAATTCAAATTAAGCTGCTGAGTAGTCTATTTAACTTAAAAGTGACATAGCATTTAAACGTTCTTGGCCATGGTTGATTATAAAGTGTTTTTAATGAGCTTAAGTTGAGAGAATGAACGTTCCCCGCTGCAATTGCATACCATTAAAAAAGATACATGCGTAGTTCAATTGAAAAATTGGGAAAGCAGCCACAAATCTATAAACAATAAATATGAACATTTGCAATTCTTTCTTTTTTCTTATACAAATTTCGTTTTCAGTTATGATTTCTTTGTTAAAATGTTTGATTAAAATGATTTCTTTGTTAAACTGTTTTAATAAAGAACAAATTAAACAATTTCATCTGATAACTGAGGGTCAAGGTCTTCATAGTATATTTCCAAAATCTATCACTAATAACACTGTATGCAGAGATTTGCTGATTCAAGGCTGTTAATAGATTGTCAATAACCGGAAAAAATGTGTGTATTTTAAACTTGTCTAAAGGCGTTAACCTTGCGTCAACATCACGATAGTTCCATTTTCTGTTTTGCTTTATTTTTCTTTTATGCTTTTGTTGATGCGCATCGCTTTGATACAGAACTTTTACTTTGTGTTCAATTTAACTGAATTGAGAACGAAGCTCTTGAACAAATATTTTTAAAAACTGCAACATCTTTGTAGTTGTATTTAAATCTAGTTTTGAAACTTTAATACATTTGGTTGTTCTGTCAAATCTTTTTAAAATGATTGATCTTGCAAGGGCAGTTAGTCCAGTGTCTAACTTATTTTGCTTCTAATCTTGTGTCAGCTTTTTCAATTGTTGATTTAGACATATTGATAAAAATATTTTAAATTGTTTAAAATCCTTTAATTTTGTTTAAAACGCATTAATTGCGTTGTGGTGAGCAGATCAACGTGTATCAGAAAGTTGTTTGTACAATAATACATCACATATCAAATGGTCCGCTTGCTATAAAATTATCGGTGTTGAGTCTACTAAGACAGAATAGCATTTCGCATCTTTTATTTCTTGTATTACCTGATTGATTAACTCATCACTTATAATTAAAATAAATTTATCACAAGTTGTTGTTGAGAAATATGACATGTGGACTCTTCATTTGTTAGATTGTTGTTGAACTTGTTGATACAAATGAATCTTTTAAATAGAAGGAACCGCGCAAAATATCAGTAACTATCTACATTCCTAAATCATCAGGAAGTTTTGTATCTGCATCTGCAAGTTTATCACATTGCATTTCCACTTTAACATCTTTAACTAGATCTTCTAATAGAGGTTCATATTAAAGTTCTTGTTCGTGATTTACATTTGCTGTTGAGTTATCTAATATCTACATACCTATTGCTTGGCCATGATTGTCAGTTTGACAAGTTTCAGTTGCAATTGCGCTACTGTACCAAGTTCAATAAACTGTACCAAGTTCAATATTCAATTCAGACTCGGTAATATTATGAAATTGAGTGAATTCAGTAATCTCTTTATTTACTGACAAAACTCTTTTGTAACGTTTCTTCTTTTTTTAACTTTCTTCTTCTTTCTTCATTTTTGCATTCTTTCACACGCTTTTATATTTTTTCATATTTATTGATATTTATTTTAATAAAAAGAAAAAATATTTTAAATAATATAGCGTAGGTACAGTGTAGCAGTATACGCTAAAAAACCTTTTTGATTAAATCGGATGTAAACAAAATGAAAACTAGTACAAGACAATTTGTGCAACGAAGTAAAATAAATTGGTGCAGTGTCGTAAAGTAAAAGTAAAAATAATAAAATAATAAAAACAGAAATAGACATTTATTACAATGTCTAAATGTTCAAAAGTTTAGTATGTGAGGCCACTAAGACGAGTTAAAATATTTGATAGTTGATAACTTGAGGTTTTTGCTTTTTCGATATTTTTTAAGACTTTATCTTTCGATATTTTTTTCTAGATTCATTTTTTCATTTTTTTTTTTGTGGTGGGCCTGTGGTTGCAGCCTACTCAACCTCTTTGAAATCTTTAATGACTCCAATCACTCGGGTTACCTGTTATACTAACAGTCTCAAAAAAGCATCTTTCTGAAAACTAGTTGAAAATGCTTGGTGAAGCTTTTTCTAATCTGTGGTTTGCACATTTTTATCAAACTTCACTATTAATATGTAAGATGCTCAGCATCGGACGCGTTAAGTCTTTGGTCTTTAGTTAAATTGCTGACGTATTTCTGGCTGAGGAAGTTCAGTCTCTTTAACAGCAAGTCAAAATTGTAATTTGTATTTCCAATATCTTCCTTGCTGCCGAACCTGCTGCTTTCAAGACGGCTGATCTTGTGAGTAGTGGGAACCGGTAGCTTTGGGCTGTGCGGGACTGGGACAATTAAGAAAGAAAAGTCTAGATAAACAACTTAAGACGCATTTGTGTCTGAGTTTTGTTTTTTGGATTAAGGGATCAACAATGCGGAAGTAGCAGTTGCTTTAATGGTTCTTTGGTTTTTGTCAAACTTGCAAGGTGGTAAACTTTATGACTCTTTTTTCTCTCCTGTAAAAACCTGTAACATCGTACATATAAATAATTATAAAACTTCAAAAAAAGTTTAACAAATTACTTAAAACAGGGTATAGTGTTAACATAATTTTATCTAGTACGCCAATATGGAAACTTTATCAATTACCACCTTTTAAAATTTTACAAAATAAAGCACAACGAAGCGAATAGCAGGTGTACAACTTACCTTTAAGAGTTCTTTTGCAATACTTGCATCTGAAAAGCAGTGCCCATTACAGGGCATTTTTTTTGATCTGCGATATGCATGCCTAAGTATGTGTTTTAGACCTCACACATTTTTTGAAGTACATAACTTTTTTATTTTTTTTTAAACATGGCATCGTGTATTTATACTAATTCACTCCACTGAATATATAATTCGCTCCACTGAATATATAAATTTATCCTCGAGAATTTTATAAAAATTATATAACTTAATATAATATAAAAATAAAGTAACAATAAAAAAAAAAGATATTGAAATAAAAATAGCTATTAGAAAATAAGTTTTTATAATTAACTTTTAGTATTATAAAATAAAAAAATTTACCATCGCCAGAAAGGTCTACCATGGTATCGCTAAAAATCTAAAAGTATATTGAACAAAAAATATGATGGAATTTGTAATTATAAAAATAAGGGATGAGGATTAAAAAAAATACCTTTGAAGGATGTGCAAAAAAAATCAAAATAGCTTCGATAATGCTTCTAAACATTTTCCTTCTCTTTTACTATCTTTCGAAATTTAACGTTTGTTTTTTTTTTTCTGCAATTTTTTTATTATTGAGTTTAATTTTGTAAAAATTAACGCACAAAAAATATTCAATGTAAATGTAATCGTTACAAAATTTATTTTTAAAATATGCATAATTTACTTTTGTACATAATTCAAATTAGGTTTGTTGCCAAGACTGGTTGCTAAAGCTAAAAATTCAATGGAAACGATTTTGTATGAATACCTTTAAACTAGTTAAATATTATATGTACTGCCACATTTAAAACAATACTTTCTTTTTGAAGAAAATCATATAAACAGCGGTTTTTTAAACCTTAACTAGTTTCTAATGTTCTTTTAAAATAAAATTATGAAACATAATCGTTAAAATCAATTTTTAAAAAAGTTTTTTTTTTTTATTAACAATTAAACAAAAATCAATAATTATTTTTAGCAAACTAATTTATTTAGATGCATCTTAAATATGTTAAATTTTATTTTTACTTTCAGAGTTCTCTTATTTGAAGTTTTAATAAAATGTACAATTCAAAATTATTTAAAAGAATCATTTCAGCGCGGTACAATTAACTTTTTTTTTTCTTTTCGGTAAATGTTACCTTATTTTTCACAATCGCGATGTTTTGCGACTTTCACGCTAATTGTTGTTTTTATTATTTAGTGACAAAAGTTATAGTATTTTAAAATTTGTAGTATTTTAAAATTTGAGTATTTTAAAATTTGTAGTATTTTAAAATTTGACTGTATTTTGAAGAGAAAAAGTACTTGATTTTTTTTTTCCAATCTTGTTAATTTGGTGACTGTTAATAATCCTAGTGCTAAATTTGATCATTTTATCCCAGACTTTAATCATTTTTGGAAGGAAATTTTACCATGTTTTTTTTTGTTTCCCCGTTATTATTTCAATATATTCCATATTTGTTTTGAGTCATTTTTTATATTTTTTTTTATATTAAGTAATTGGATCTGAGTAAGAAATTTTTTTTTCAGGTTTTTACGAATTTTTTTTTTTTTTTTTTTTTTCAAATGGAGTTTTTGTAGTTTTTATATATGCGTAAACTAACATGAGATTTTGTTTTTAAATATATTATTTACAATTTTTGTTTGATTTTTAAAGATTTTTTAAGACCCTTGGTAAACCGAGGACTGTTTAAGGTTTTTGGTTTTAAGGTTATTTCGGAAACGGAAAAATTTGCATCGTACACTGAGAAGAATGTATTAAAGAACTTATTATAAATTATATTTATGTCTACATTTCATGTCTTCACATGATAATTTATATTCAAACGTTTCTAAAAATATTTTGTTGAAAATACGTTTTCTTATAGTTTGACTTTTATTAGTGTTAGGAGTTGAATTGTGTTAACTCTTAGAAAAATTGGGAAATGGTCTGTTATATCTGATTTTATAATGCCTTTTTGTATGTCATTGTCATATACATCTGTTGTTAAAATATTGTCTATTATGGTGGTTGAGTTTACTGTTATTCGAGTAGGCCGGTTGATAAGCGGTATTTTTGTTTTCATTGTCATTTTTATTAAGAAATTCTTTTAACTCACTAGCATAATGATAAAAACAATCTATTTTTAAGTCATTAAAATAATTATTATCTGGATTTGTTTTTATTTTATCAGATCTAATGTATTTGTTTCTAAAGTTGAAAATAAGTGATTCATAGTCATCCATTTTTATACTTTTTGTTGTTATCATTTTTTGTGTACTAAATAAGATTTAAAAGAATTTCTTATACTATTGAGGCGCGCGTTACAAGATTGGTATATATAACTTTAACAAACTTATCCTCAGCTAGAAGTTCTTTTACTTTTGTAAATAGAAGTCTTCTTTTTTCAATTGTGTAATTGCTCTAGTCTTCGTTTAGATATATTTTTTCGCTCTATAGTTTTCTTTTTTTATATTCATTTAATAAGATTTCTCTATCTTTATAATTAAGAAACTTTACCGCGATTGTTCTTCTTCTTTTTCCAGACTCGTGCTTTTTTTCAGTCCTGTATGCTCTTTCAATTGCAATCTTGTATTTAATTCCGAGTTTCTCCTAAAGGTGGTATACTCCCTTCAAAATTATCGTGGAAGTGAAATCTTATAGTCAAAATTAAAAATAAGCCTATGAAAGATCTTATTAAACGAAATTGATTTATAAAATTATAGGTGATTATGTTGGCATGACAACCACCCTAAAATGGCGGATATAAGAAAATATGCACATTGCACTGTCAAAAATATCTCCAATTCTAATAGAGTGTTCATAGTAAAACTTGGCCCAATGATAAAAACAGTTTGATCTATGCAATCTGCCAAATACCACTACACGGATTATGAAGATAAATAAGCATTTTTTTAGCGCTGAAACAGCAATATCTCATACTCTGAAATGTTTTATAATTTCCTTTTGGCAGATTGCATGCATCATATAAAAACGCATCACTGCTGAAAATTTGGTTAAAAACTGATTACTAGAAAATGAAATAACTGTGACGGGAGATTGAAAAATAGAAGTTAGCAAATAAAGACTTTGAAAATTAAAAAAGAGAATAATATGCAAATCAGTTATTGAATGGCTAATAAAGTGCTATCAATTATTCTGTATCCACATATATTTTTTTTTATTAGAACTTGCAGAAGTATTAATAGGGTTTACCTTGGAATAAGATACATTTATTGAGTTCTGTAAACCTGTAGAAGGTAGAAGACTAGTATTTGCTGAATTTGTTTTATTTAAAGTATATTGATTTCCATGAAATCTTTTTTTTTTTTGAGTTTTTTTATTGAGTAGCGAATTTTACACATTCTCTAATTCTCCATTAAAAGTATAAAATTTAGTTTTTATAAACATAAACAGATGCATAGATATATATAACTTTAAGATGATAATTCATTTTAAAGAAACTACTGGAAGAAATTTATGAGAAATCCGGTTATTGCTTTTACTCTTACAGATGTTTTGATGAATGGAAAATAGAAACAAATTATTAACTCATTTCAACAAGCTTTTTTCTCAGAATTAAAATAATAAATTTGGGGAGAATTTCTTGGCCAAATAAAAATTTAACCGTTGCTATGGAGGTTGTTTAGGGCGTTTAAAAAAGTAAGGTTCAGTAAAGTTTGTTTTCCTCAAATTATATACTGAATTTTAAAAAATGGTTTTCAGAATATGATTCTATAATAAATTTTGAATAAAATAAAACAACAAAATTTTTTTTTGAAAAATTTGATACTTCTGAGGGGTATATTACCTTAAAGAACTCTTTGATCTTTGATTCGCTATCTTTCCAAGTTTCTTCTTGTCTTTTGTCAAAGCCATCAAAACAAATTTTGTTTATTTATCTTGAATAATTTCGGTGCATTTTAGATTCTCGTTGTCTTTGTTATAATTATTGAGTTTTACTCTTAAGTCATTTGGTTCCTAAACAACTTGTTCATAATATTCATTCTGAAAATTCATTGCTTTAGTAACTTCAGCGATTTCTCTCTTCAGGAAAGCATTTTCGTTTTTTAATTTTTCAATTTCTTCGTAAAATGTTTCTTCTAATTTATCAAAGGCTCTCCAAAGGCTTTTAGTAGAGTACTTTCATGAAATTTCAAAAATTATTTTACAATAGTTAAAGACTTATCCATTTTCGAATTATTTCAAAATATCAAAACTTATTTTAGCAACAATAAAAACACGAAAGCGTGCGCAAAAAAAGACTAAATATATAATAAGTACCCTTTATAAGGTAAGTTTCGTGTTTAATACAATTTGAAGCGTAAAAAAGTTCCTGTGATTACTTTTATGAAAAAATTGTCTAGTTCAGTTCTGCATTTTACGTCTCCTAACGCAGAATACTTGAATTACTTGATGTGGAATAGGCAGTTTTGCTATTATATTAACTTATAGTATTTTGCTTCACAGAAAAAACAATGAAACAGAATATGTAAACTTATTTCAATCAGAAAGGTGAATATTGATGGAATAGTCCTCTTTCAAGCATTTCACATTTGGGCACTGACTAGTTATAACTTTTATGCCGTTAAATTAATAAAACAAAATTTTTAACAGATAAACTAATTACACAGCATTATAAGGTAGCATTTCTACTTACCTTCCTCAAAAAATAAACTTTACAAACCCACTAAGAAAAATCACCATCAAGTTTGTTTGCATAGATGAAAAAAAAAACTGTAAACACCAAATAATGCATGGCGCAATATTTTAAGGTTATGTTTGCAAAAGAGACAGGGGTCACGTGATTGAATAATAAATCCCACCACGCATGATATTCAGCTATTAGAATGGAGATACATTTAACAATCTGGCTCTAATCCAGATTGGTAGAGACAACCAAAGAGCTCAATACCAAGCTACGCAACCAGATCATTGGTTTTCCTCTAATAATCTGGTTGAGCTTGGTGAATTGGTTTTGTAAACTTTAATGAATATCTTCTAAATCATAACTTTTTTAGTTTGGGTTAGGAGACTTTTTTTTTTTTTTCATAATTAATGTTTATGGTGGTAAGGGTGCTTGTAATGATCAAATGATTGAGTTTTACTTAGTAAGTTATAAGAAGTTAATTCCATTAAAAATATGTTCATGTCTATACTTTTTAAATAAATATTTGTGTTCTTTGCTTTTTTCTTTTTTTTTTCTACTTACTAAATATTTCGTTTAAGTAAGTACTTATTAAGTATTTACTAGGATTAGTCGGTAATCATCAGATTAATCGGAACTTAATAAGTTTAGCCGTATTAGGCAAAAACTTAACAGGATTAGTCAGAATAGCTCGCACTTAACAGGATTAATAGGAAGTTAAATAGTTTCCGAATAATTTTAGCCGGGTTTTATTTCGGGCAATTGGTAGAAGCCCTTGTAAGAGCTTGACATAACAACCCCAGTCCCAACACAATTCAAAGGTTAGCATTGAAAACATGCCCCGACGCACAGTTGGTCAGAATAGCTTTAAAACTGGAAACTGGATTTTTAAGTTAAATAATTAGTTGAGGGCACTTGTTAGACTAGATTTTTAAACATTTATTTCTAATTCTCAGACGTTTTTGATAAATTTTCGAGTAATTTCGAGTAATGACGTCAAATCACTAATTAAGAGTAAAA